CCACTTGGTGGGAGATGAAATGACTTTGGAAGAGATTTTCAGAGGCTCAGAAGTTTGTACCACGTTTGCTCCATCTCCCCCCTGAACCTGAAGCCCGAGCGTTTCCCAAGCAGCAGTGATGCGGAGTTCTGGGCATCCCAGGACCAGGAGAGTTGTTTTGGTAGACACCAGGTCCTTCACAGTCCTCTAGCTTGGTCCTTGGCTTCGAGGATCTTTAAGGGGGCACCTCCACCTCCATCTCTGCACCCTGGGTTCAGGGGGACCCAGAGAAGAAGCACGTGACGTGGAATTGACGTTAGCTGGTACCAACTGGCTTAAAACGCACAGTAGCACGTGCTGAGGCATGGCTAGGGACTTGTCTGCAGAGACAGAGGCTTGCAGGTAGAGATGAGGGGGCGTGGCAGGGCCTCAGGGGGCGGAGCCAGGGAGAAGGTGGAGCCTAGCTTTCAGAGGGTCCAAGATGGAAAGGGTGTGGCTTATTTTAGAGTGGGCAAGGTGAGTGGGCTGGGGGTAGGACCAATGCAGAAAGCAGGCCTTGTGGAGTTAGGGTGCTTATTCCATAAATGATATTTGGTCCCCTGTGATGTGATGTAAAAACTCCAGTAAATAGAGCAGTAAACCAGAGCCTCATAGATTTTATTGGCTACTTCCATTTCCTCTTCTAGTAACTGTCTGGCTTTACCCTGTTGCAGTTTCTACTGAGTTGTTCCTATTCCTCTCTGACTTTTTTCTTTTTTTTTTTGGTCCGGTCATGGGGCCTGAACTCTGGGCCGGGGCGCTGTCCCTCAGCTCTTCAGCTCAAGGCTAGCGCTCTACCACTTGAGCCACAGCGCCACTTCTGGCTTTCTTCTTACGTGGTGCTGAGGAATCGAACCCAAGGCCTCAGGCATGCAAGGCAAGCGCTCTACCACTGAGCCACCTTCCCAGCCCTGATCAGGGACTCTTTATGTAGCCCAGGGTGGCTTCAAACTTGTAATCTTCCCCCCCCCTTTTTTTTTGTATCTGAAGTGATGGAATTACAAGCGTGTACTAACAGGTCCTGCTCCAATTTTTTTGGGTATGTTGAATTGACTTTTGAGTTCTTTTTACTATTTCTACTGCAAGTTGAGCATAAAGGCACACAACTGTGTCCTTTCTTTTTATAGCCTGTTTCAAATTATACCACCAGCTCTATGCATAAATTGGGCCAGATTCTAGAATTGTTCGTTTGCAGCAGAAATGGGAGGCTGCAGAGCTACAGTATATACATCTGTATATACAAATATACAGATGTATATCTGATCCTCAAGCCCCACACGGACCAGTGGGTTGAGATGAGAAGGGACTTCTTGAACTTTGGCCCAGACACATCCACAGTGGCATGAATTGCTTCAACATGTGCTGGTAATGAAGGGTAGACAATTACCTGGGAGGGTAGGCAAACCAGGAACCCAGTTGAAGCACCGCTCCTAAATGTGGGAGGGCAGCAGTGACTTCTGCAGCCTTGGTTGCTGCATATACTGTTGCTTATGGCCTCTAAGTGGCCTCTAAGGAGGCTTCTTGCCTCCTTTTGCCATAGTGCTGAAGGTATGCTAAGGATGGCTAACTCCAGGTGTTATTAAGAAGGGGCTTTCACTTGGCTGGGTGCTGGTGGCTCATACTTGTAATCCTAGTTACTCAGGAGGCCAAGATCTGAGGGTCACAGTTCAAAGCCAGCAAGGCAGGAGAAGTCTGTGAGAATCTTATTTCCAATAAACCGCTCAGAAAACTGGAAGTGGCACTGTGGCTCAAGTGGTAGAGCACTAACCTTGAGCTGAAGAGCTCAGGGACAGTGCCCAGGGCCCAGAGTTCAAGCCCCATGACAGAAAAAAAAAAAGAAGAAAAGAAGAAAAGAAGGGGCTCTCCACCATGCCATCAAGATTCTCAGAACACCGTGATCAGCAATCATCCTAAGGTAGACAGTAGAGATGGCCTGTGAGTGACTTCTGACTTTAGCACACCATTTCATTCTCCAGCCTAGCTGGCTTCCTTTTAGAATCACCTTTGTGGGCTGGGAATGTGGCTTAGTGGTAGAGTGCTTGACTAGCATGCATGAAGTCCTAGGTTCGATTTCTCAGCACTACATACACAGAAAAAGCCAGAAATGGCGCTGCGGCTCAAGTGGTAGAGTGCTAGCCTTAAGCAAATGAAGCTCAGGGGCAGTGCCCAGTTCCTGAGTTCAAGCCCCAGGTCTGGCAAAAAATAAAAAAGATTTAGACTCACCTCGTGTGTTCAAACTCTCAGTGCAGGCCTTCAAAGGCAATTGAAGGATCTGTTGAATTGGGACTAAGGTTCAATTTGATATGTTTCAGAATCATTGAGTTCTGATGGAGTCACACATCAAATGTAGGAGAAGCTTCCATATGAACTTAGCAGTATTTTGAACTGTGGGGACTCAGGTGAACTTAATGAAGAGAGGAAGTAAGCTCCAATCAGAAATCCACACACACAAGTTTATAGGATTCAGAGCCACCTGCCTTGATGAATATGCACAGAGTGACTCAGTGGGCGCGGTCTCACTTGAGTGGTGGATTTTGAATAATCTCTAGATACTGCCAAGGTCTTCCTATGATGCTATGAATCCTCCGTAAGCTGAAATGATTTTTTGTTTTATGCTTTACCTGGCACTTCAACTCAGAGCCCTGGGCCAGTCCTGGGCCTTAAATTGTGGGCCTGGGCACTGTCTCTGAGCTCCATTTGCTCAGGGCACTCTACTACTTTAGCCACAGTGCTACTTCCAACTTTTTCTGTGATTAATTGGAGATGAGTCTCACAGGGCTGGGAAGGTGGCTCAGTGGTAGAGTGCTTGCCTTGCATGCATGAAGCCCTGGGTTCGATTTCTCAGTACCACATAAACAGAAAAAGCTGGAAGTGGCACTGTGGGTCAAGTGGTAGAGCGCTAGCCTTGAGCTGAAGAACTGAGGAACAGTGCTCAGTCCCAGAGTTAAAGCCCCATGACCAAAAAAAAAAAAGTCTCACAGACTTTCCTTCCTGAGCTGGCTTTGAATCTCAACCCTCAGATCTTTGCCTCCTGAATAGCTAGGATTACAGGCCTGAGCCACAGGGGCCCAGCCCTGAGTAGATTTTTGCATTCTACCACTTAAGCCACAGCTCCACTTCAAGCTATGTTGGAGTAGGTTAATTTTGAATAATAATTTTTTTTTTGGGTCTGGTCATGGGCCCCGAACTCTGGGCCTGGGCTCTGTCCCTCAGCTCCTCAGCTCAAGGCTAGCGCTCTACCACTTGAGCCACAGCGCCACTTCCGGCTTTTTCTTTTTGCTTATGTGGTGCTGAGGAATTGAACCCAGAGCCTCAAGCATGCAAGGCAAGCGCTCTACCACTGAGCCACCTTCCCAGCTCTGAATAATTCTTTTTTTTTTGGGGGGGGCCTGAACTCTGGGCCTGGGCGCTGTCCCTCAGCTCTTCAGCTCAAGGCTAGCGCTCTACCACTTGACCCACAGTGCCACTTCTGGCTTTTTACTTTTTGCTTATGTGGTGTTGAGGAATCGAACCCAGGGCCTCATGCATGCAAGGCAAGCGCTCTACCACTGAGTCACATTCCCAGCCCCCTGAATAATTATTTCTGAAATAAGGTTTTCATGAACTTCCCTGCATGAGCTTGCTATGAACCTCAATCCTCAGGTTTCAGCCTCTCGTGTAGCTAGGATTACAGGTCTGAGCCAAGGAATGATTTGATAAAAGACAAGCACTACTGAGACAGGAAAATGTGGACTTACAAGACATATTAGGTGAAATTTTATTAGTAATGATATTGTATATACATATTTACATATGAATAAATTGACCTTGTAAGAAACCAAATAAGCAGTGGGTTCCACTGACACAATTGAGTGTCATTTCTCCCCATCCAGTATCAAAGATACAGCCATTACAGCACCACCTGAAAGGTAGGATTTCAGGTACCTGAAATTAGAGTCCAAAATCATTGTATAGTAGTTCCTGAGTATAGTCATGTGACCAAGTATCATTGTCCTCAGATTCTCTGAAGGTGCCATGAACTTCTGCTGGATTCAGAGTGGCAGTGCTGTTTGTCTCTTTCCAGAAGCCTCTGGAATTCTACTTCTCACCTTTACTCGTGTGTGTGTGTGTGTGTGTGTGTGCGCGCACGCACGCGTGCTACTTCTAGTGCTTGAACTCAGAGCCTGGGAAATGTCTCTGAGCATTTTGTGCTCAAGGTGACTACTCTACCACCTGAGCAACCACTCAACTGCCAGTTGTTGTTATTGTTTTTTTTTCTGGTTTATTGGAGATAAGAGTGTCAAGGTCTTGGTCTGGGAAGGTGGCTTAGTGGTAGAGTGGTAGAGTGCTTGCCTAGCATGCATGCATCAAGCCCCGAGTTCGATTTCTCAGTACCACATTCATAGCAAAAGCCAGAAGTAGTGCTGTGGCTCAAGTGACAGAGTACAAACCTTGAGTAAAAGAAGCTCAGGGACAGTGCTCAGGCCCTGGGTTCAAGCTCCAGGACTTGCAAAAAAAAAAGTGTCAAGGTCTTTCCTGTTTGAGTTTGTATCATTCATATTCTTCAGATCTCAGCATCCAAACTCACTAGAAATATAGGCATGAGCCAGTAGCACTCAGCTCTTTCCTCAATTCTAAAGTGTGGAGGGTTTGGGATTCACAAAGTGCAGTGTATATCCCTCTGTCTTCTTCTTCTTTTTTTTTTTTTTTTGGGTCCGGTTGTGGGGCCTGAACTCTGGGCCTGGGCACTGTCCCTCAGCTCTTCAGCTCAAGGCTAGCGCTCTACCACTTGAGCCACAGCGCCACTTCTGGCTTTTTTCTTTTTGCTTATGTGGAATCGAACCCAGGGCCTCATGCATGCAAGGCAAGCACTCTACCACTGAGCCACCTTCCCAGCCGCCCCCCCTCTGTCTTCTTGACTCAACACAGAGTCTGCTCTAAATCAGCTGTCAATTGACACTGAGCCTTCTGTTTCAGAGGGGCCTGCTTCCATGTCATTCTCCTCAGAGGGATGAGAGCCTGAGATTCTCATGCAGGACACTGTGGGGGACCCCAGAGCTGTGCCCCTCAGTGTTATCCAGCAAAAGAAGTTTGCTGGCAGAAGGGCTGATCTTCTCTGTACTGTGAGGTGAAGGAAGGGGCAGGAAGCTGGAGGCCCACATGTCATGGTGCAATCTTGTGAAGACCATTTTGAGCGGCTGGCCGGGACAGGGGCTGACCCCACAGTGCTGGGTGTCAGTATGAGGCTGGGCAGGTTGCAAGGGAGGGAAGCTGTGTGTGGGCTGGAGTTGAAAGCTTGGTCCCTGCATAGCTGTTTGCTTGTTGGCCTGTGGGGAAGCTTGCAGATCCAGTGTGCTTGTAGTGAGAGGCAAAGTTAGGGCCTGGAGATGCGGGAGCTCTTGTCCTTCAGTGTTGCACCCAGGTCTTGGGCTGGGGCTGAATCTTGGTTTCTTTGGGGGATTCTGACCAGTCTGCCTGGGGACCGTGATAGCTCTCTTGCCTGGTGCCTGAAAGGGAATTTTGGATTGATGGCCTTCTCTGCATGCTATCTTTGGTAGGTAGAGCTGTTTCTCCTCAGGAGGCTTGGCTGGCCTTAGTTGTGAGACCACCTGTCCCATGCTATGCATTTTGGTGGTAGCCTGGCCAACAACTTGGCCAACTGTCCCTTGTTCTGAGAGCTTGTCCTTTTGACCTGGACTGTGCCCTTGTGAGCAGACTCTTGCCCTTGCAAGAGTAGGTCCATGGATGGGTGGCACCGGTGGGCATGTGGGTGACCTATCATCCTTCTTGACAGGAGACTGGCTTTCTTGCACTGGATGTGGGATGGACCTTTTCCTGTTTCCATGGTACAGGGTTGGCCTGGTTGGTTGCTGCAGGAAAGATAAACTCATCTGTTATTCATGGGTACATGTTCCACATAAAATGAAAATCAAATTCATTTGAATACAGCTGACCCAAGAAGGGGTCAGGGTAAATCTTCAAGAAGAGCAAGAAGGTAGGGGTTCCCTCTAGGAAGACCCTCATGGATATGGAGGTGGGTAGGAAGCACCGACAAGGCTGTGACTATAAGGAACAAGTCACTAACAACAGGTGGATGACTTATGTGATATAAATGTCTACAGTCACTGTAAGTTTGACATGGTTGAAATAACTAAACACAATTTGCTGTTCACTCTTGTGTGCCACAGTGGAAATCCATATTCCATGCAAACATTCCTGAAGACACAGGATTCATGACCCAGAGGTCCATGAAAATACATCTCTGCCTCAGAGGTCCATGAAAATATACCTCTGCCTCAGAGGTCCATGAAAATACATCTCTGCCCGTGTAGATTTTAACTCAGCTTCCTGAAGAAGGGATGCAGAGTGAAGCCCCCAGGATCACTGAGAAGAGGATAGGAGCAGGACACCCTGGAGGACACTGACCCTCAGATAGGCACAGGGCGCAGTCACTTCCGGCCAATTATGCTTTTCCTCCTCCTGGTGCCTCCTGGAAACTGCCTGGAGTACAGCCTTTCCCTGCTGCTCTGCTAACCTGAGAAATAAGTGATGTTGAAGGTTAAAGTCTGTTTGCACCTTCACCGTGGAGCGAAGTCTTTGTTCCCACAAATACTGAGAGCATGTCATCGGATCCTTGGGTATGGTGCTGGGATGTGGGCAGTTTCACCTCCTGTCAGAGCCTTTCCAATATTGCAGACCATTCTTATGAAGCATTAATGAGGCTGTCTGGGAATCAATTGTCTTTTCCCAGTCAGGTGGCAAGTACCTAGTTGTGCTCACCCCTCTCACTTACTGACTGGATGGTAGAGCCATCAATCACTCTGGCACCCCTCCCTTTTGCTCAGCTTCCTCCCCAGGGGACATGAAGCTCTTGGCCTTTTCTCCCTACGTTGCCCATTATTGGCTGTGCAAGTGGGGTTGGGGGATGGAGAGATATTAGCCCTAAATCTCCATTGTTGTTTCCACCTTCCCATCCACTCACCATCTTGTCTGTTCCTTGTATCTTTTAGCCTGGTCCAAGAGTTGTGGCCTCTGGAGATTCAGTGGTTTCTGGTTCTCTTTCATTTTCTCTTTCTTGAGGCCCAAGGGCATGAGCATCATGGAGCCATGGTCAGATTTGATTGGACACCTCTTACTCCTGGAGCTATGTCCAAAGGCACCACAGTTTTGACATTTCACCTGTGAGGGAAACAGGAGAGATGTGTTTAGATAGAGCAAACATGCAGGCAGACAGCACAAAAGGGTCAATCTGTGTACAGATTTTCCCATCTTCATTTCAGTGTCCTTTCTACAAAGGGCATCTGAGGGCTTATTTCATGTTAAATTAAACAACAACAACAACAAGCAGAAAAGATGTGTATTCGTAAAGCCTTCATTGAGAAGAGAGAAACAACCACCAGGGAGAACACTTGCAGCATTTTCCCATTATTTGGGAGAGCTGGCTAAGTGCATAGGGATCAACGGAGGTCGCCATTTTGGGTGTCTACTTGGCTGTGTGTACCAGGTGGGGCATGGGAGAAGGCATCCTCACAGGAAGCTAGGGTGGATCAGTTGTGTGATTTCTGGAATGTGTGATGCTGGAGGGCCCCAAGCTGGCACTTACCCAGGGATTCTCCTCTTCCGGTGGGGGAACCCTCAGCTGCACGGGGTCCCTCTGCTGCTGCTTCATTTGCACAGCTTTGGCAATTCTAATTGTGGGGTGCTGCGGAACAGGCAAACCATGGGCCAACTGGCTCATCTTTTTCGGAGGTAAGTGCAGCTTTTGAGCAGCTATTTCGTGGTTGTGGGCTCCTGAAGAAAAAGCACAAGAGGCTGGGCACTGGTGGCTCAGGCCTGTAATCCTAGCTACTTAGGAGGCTGAGATCTGAGGATCACAGTTCAAAGCCAGACTGGGAAGGAAAGGCCATGAGACTTACCTCCAATGAACCACCAGAAAACCGGAAGTGGCACTGTGGCTCAAAATGGTAGAGCACTAGCCTTGAGCTGAAGAGCTCAGGGACAGCGCTCAGGCTCAGCGTTCAAGCCCCACAACCAAAAAAAAGAAGCACAAGAATTTTTTTATTTGTCAGTCGTGGGGCTTGAACTCTGGGCCTGGGCACTGTCCCTCAGCTCTTCAGCTCAAGGCGAGTGCTCTACCACTTGAGCTACAGCGCCACTTCCAGTTTTCTGGTGGTTTATTGGAGATAGGAGTCTCCTGGTCTCTCCTGCCCGGGCTGGCTTTGAACCGCGATCCTCAGATCTCAGCCTCCTGAGTAGCTAGGATTACAGGTGTGAGCCACCAGCGCCCGGCAGCACAAGAATTTTTGATTGGGTGAGTTCAACACCTGAAACTTGTATTACACAGTTATTTTTTACCCCCAAGAAATAGAGTACAGAAAAAATAAATTACGCTGGGCCCTGGTGGCTCACACCTGTAATCCTAGCTACTCAGGAGACTGACATCTGAGGATTGCGGTTCAAAGCCAGCCTGGGCAGGAAGTCCATGAGACTCAAATAAACCACCAGAAAACCGGAAGTGGCACTGTGGCTCAAGTGGTACAGGGCTTGCCTTGAGCTGAGGAGCTGAGAGACAGCGCCCAGACCCAGAGTTCAAGCCCCATGACCAACAAAAAGAAGCAGAAGCAGCAGCAGCAGAAGCAGAAGCAGCAAGCACCTAGGCATCAGGGAGAGAGAAAAGTTGGGTAGGGAAGTTTGTGTGGAACCAAATACCAGTTACAGCAGTAGTGAAGCTCCTAGGGTCAGGAGGACTGGCTGGTTTTGTCTTTGGAGGAAAATGGCTGCAAGTGTTTGGTATTGAGTGATATAAGCCAACAAAATCTAGGTTCATGGCACTTGGGTTCCTTCATTCCTGGAGTTTTCCTTCAGATATTCCCCAGTCAGTCTGTCTGTGTGTCCTTAATAATACTCCATATGAAAGGACCTTTCCAGACAGTGCCGTGGAACAGCCCACTTCCTTGTCCAAATTAGGGAATTCTTCTAAGACTGAGCTCTACCCCTTGCTCTACATAGCTCCTGTTGTCCCAGAAATTCCCCTGTAACTTAGTCTGAGCTAGTGCTCCTGGCAGGGTAAAATTTACCAAACCCAAGCCCGCTTGATACAAAGCAACCTCACCATGTATTACACTCACTTAATTTCATTAAAAAAAAAATAGCATCCAGGGCTGGGAAGTTGGCTTAGTGGTAGAGCGCTCGCCTTGCATGCTTAAGGCCCTGGGTTCGATTCCTCAGCACCACATAAGCAGAAAAAAAAAAGCCGGAAGTGGCACTGTGGCTCAAGTGGTAGAATGCTAGCCTTGAGCTGAAGAGCTGAGGGACAGCACCCAGGCCAAGAGTTCAGGTCCCACGACTGGACCACCTCCAAAAAATAGCATCCAGAAGAAATAAATAAAAAGAAATCCAACCTGAAAGTCAGGGCTGTTCCAGCAGTGAGCAAGTTCTTCCTGGGTGGCGGCTGGACTTGGGTCAGCAGCCTGGAATCAGAGCAGCTTCCAGGAACCTGCAGAAAGAACAGTGATGGAGATCTGCTACTCACCAGGCTTTTGTATTCTCCTAGATGGGGCCAGAGAAGTTCCACTTCACATAATTCACTTAGGATAAGTTCCACTTCACAGAATCCACTTGCCCAGAAGGAAAACAAGGTGGCTATAGTGGGCTTTGCTTTCCAGGCCTTTCAATACAGGTATACCAAATGAGGCAGGTCAACAGAAATATGGATGCAGATATAGCTTTGTGGGGAAAGCACATGTATGTGTGTTAATCTAGTTTTCTGTGCATCCCACCAGTCACCATTGCCCAGGACATGCCAGCCCAGGGTAGGGCACCGTGAGTGTGGTCTGGGCTGGCCCTCAGAGCGTCCATGGGGCCAAGGTATATCTATATTTTCACCCAATCTCTTCCTGTTGTGGAAGCAGAGACTTCTCTAAAATGATCCTCCTTTGGTCCCTCCTCCCCTCAGAAAAAGGAGGTTTTTAAGAGGGCTTAATTGACTGGGGACCTAAACTGTCTGCAATTTTGGATCTATAAACAACCTGAAGAGGGAATAAAAAGGCAAACAGCAATGAGGGAATAAAAAGGCAAACAGCAACTAAAAACAGTATGAACAGGATGTATTGAGTCTTAGCTCTAGTTGAGAAGTATTTGATAGACAAGAAGAGAGTCTTGGATTTAGTCCATAAACCACAACCACAAGATGGAAAACACCACTCACCCAGTGTCTATGGCTCACGCCTATCAACCTAGCTACTCAGGAGGCTAAGATCTGTGGATTGCTGTTCAAAGCCAGACTGGGCAGGAAATTCTGTGAGACTGTTATCGCCAATAAACCCTTCAGAACAACCCTTCAGCGCTGGTGACTCACGCCTGTAATCCTAGCTACTCAGGAGGCTGAGATCTGAGGATCTCTGTTAAAGCCAGTTCCAGCAAGAAAGGCCATGAGATTTTTTTTTTTTTTGGGTCTGGTCGTGGGGCCTGAACTCCGGGCCTGGGCGCTGTCCCTTAGCTCCTCAGCTCAAGGCTAGAGCTCTACCACTTGAGCCACAGCGCCACTTCAGGCTTTTTTCTTTTTGCTTACCTGGTGCTGAGGAATCAAACCCAGGTCCTCATGCATGCAAGGCAAGCGCTCTACCACTGAGCCACCTTCCCAGCCGAGGCCATGAGATTCTTATTGCCAATAAATCACTTATTAAACTTGAAATGGCAAAAAAAAATAAAAACAAGCCAGAAATAGCCCTGTGGCTAACGTGGTAGATCACTAGCCTTGAGCAAAGGCAGTTTAAGTTTGATGATTCCTTATTGATTTTAATGCCTGATTAAAATGTAATTATTGAAATATAGCATGGAAACCTTTCCAATCATTCTATTACATTCAATTTCATCCTTCATTTTTTTTTTGTTTTTTTTTTGCTGGTCCTGAGGCTTGAACACAGGGTCTGGTGTTCAAAGCGTGACTCTGAGCTTTTTTCCTAGAGGGTAGTGCTCTACCACTTTGAGCAGCATCACTTCTGGTTTTCTGCTGGTTGATTGGAGATAAGAGTCTGATGGACTTGCCTGCCTGGGCTAGCTTGAACCATGATCCTCAGATCTCAGTGTCCTGGGTAGGTAGGATTATAGGCAGGAGCTGAAATAGGGAGTCTGGCTGGCGCCATCTTGGCCACATTGTGGATAGTAGGGTCTGCCATCTTATCTTCATAGTGGGGGAAGGTGGAGCTCCTGCCTCCCAGGTGATGGGTGGGACTTGAATAATAGGTTACTAAACCTATCAGTCTAGTGCCCCCAACTGGGAGTTTCTTAAAACCATACTCCCTGTCTGATTGGATTTAGGGCTGGACCAGCCTAGGCACCCTGCCACGCCACGTGTCTCTGTGTTCCTGTCCTGTCTCCTGTCTCCTGACTCTTCTCTGGTCTCCATTGGAGTTGAATTGGTTTGTTGGTATTGTTTATGTTCGTTCTTTTCTCTCTGGCCTTCATGGCTCAGTTTCCTAATAGTGTTAAGTGTATTTGCTGGCTGCTGGTCTTTTTTTAATTGTTTTATTTTTTGTCCGTCATGGGGCTTGAACTCTGGCCCTGGGCGCTATCCCTCAGCTCTTCAGCTCAAGGCTGGCACTCTACCAATTGAGCCACAGCACCACTTCCAGTTTTCTCAGTGCAATTCTATCAATCTTTATGCAAGTAAAAAAGTAACTTGTCGGGCTGGGATGTAGCTCAGTGGCAAAGCGCTTGCCTAGCAAGCGCAACGTTCTGGGTTCGATCCCCAGTACCAAAAAGAAAAGACAAAAAAAATACAGTTAAAAAAAACCCAAACAAAAAAAAACCCAACCGTTTAGCCGGGCGCTGGTGGCTCACCCTGTAATCCTAGCTACTCAGGAGGCTGAGATCTGAGAATCACGGTTCAAAGCCAGCCTGGGCAGGAGAGACTGTGAGACTCTATCTACAATAAACCACCAGAAAACCGGAAGTGGCGCTGTAGCTCAAGTGGTAGAGCGCTCGCCTTGAGCTGAAGAGCTGAGGGACAGCGCCCA